ATCAGGATGGAAGGGGACACATTTGAGAGATATTATGAGGTAAGATCAATAGGCCTTGGCAATAGATGGGATATGGGAGGGTGAGTGACACTGAGAAGTCAAGGATGAAACTTAGATTGTGAGCCTGGGTGTTACCCTCAATAGTAGTAGGGAAGTTAGGAAGAGAGAAGGGTTTGGGAGGAAAGATAATGAGGTCAGTTTTGGACATGTTCAATGTACAGTGTCTATGGAACATCCAGTTTGAGATGTCCAATAAACAATGCTGGAGGTCAGCAGAGAGGTTAGGGCTGAATAAGTATACCTGATAAGCATCAGCACAGACATGATAATTGAATCCATGGGTGATGATCACCACGTGAAATAATATGGAGGAAGAAAAGGTTCCAGTCCATTCAGTGTGACACCCACAGTATGGGACATTCAGTAGTAGTGGGTGTGACCTGGATGAATATTCAGCAAAGGAGACGAAGGAGTAGTCAAATAAGGAGGAGGAAGTTCCACCGAAAGCTAGACAGAAGAGAAAAGAGTGATTGACAGTGTCAAAGGCTGCAGAGAGGTCAAGGATGAAGATTAAGAAAAGACTATTAGATTTGGTAATTGAGGGATCATTCCTACCTTTGGAGAGAGCAGCTTCAGCTGAATGAGATTAGAAACCAGACAGAGTTAAGAGGAGAGTGAGAGGAAAGGAAATGATAGTACTGATTGGAGATGGCCTTTTTAAGGGGGAAGGGATGTGGGATGTTAGCTAGTAGGAAGGGATGGATCAAGTGAGAGTTTTTCAAGAATGGGGAAGTCATAGGCATGTGTATAGGCAGTAGAGAAGCAGCCAGTGGATATGGAGAGAGAGAAGATTAGTGAGAAAAGGGGGCTAAGGGGGGCGGGGCAGCTAGATGGCATAGTGGATAGAGCACTGGCCCTGGAGTCAGGAGGACCTGAGTTCAAATCTGGCCTCGGACACTTACTAGCTAACTATATGACCCTGAGAAAGTCACTTAACCCCCCATTGCCTAAAAAAAAAAAAAGGTGAGCTAACAGAGGAGGCAGGGTACTGGAGGAGATGGGATGGAATGAGATCACTTGTTCGTGTAGAGGAGTTCACTTTGGCAAAAAGGAGGGCCGCCTCATTATGTAAGACAAGAGGTGAAGGAGACAGGAGCACAAGGTAGTTAGGTGATGTGAGATGAGGAGAGGAGAAGAGGGAGCTCTCCTCAAATGACCTCAATGAAATAACTATTAGCTATACTTAAGTGCAATGTGTTTTCTATCCTAAAAGACAAGGTAAGAGGGTTCAAGAAATACTTTCCCCATTTATTAATACTGTCCCTTGGGGGGAAAAGAGAGAAGAAGGGATTCCAGGTAAAAACAAAGAAGAAAAAATTGCTAAAGAGGGAGAAGGGAATCCTAATCCGTGGCAATAGGTTGAAGAATGAAGAATGGGGCATGAAAGAGAAAGGGAAGGTGGACCATTGAATACTTGAGGCTAAGTAACCAAGAGGCTAAGCAACTGCTTGGGCTCTAAAGAGTGACTCTAGATTCACGGATGCCAACAGAACCAAGTCATCCAGTAGGCATGCAAGGAGATGAGGTGGTCGGTGAATCTCCAGTGAGGGGCACCAGAAAAGCTGTTTGTCGGTTTGATGTCAACAATAGAGAGGTCTGTTGTTACTTCTGATGATTCATGTGGGTTTCAAGGAACCTAGAAAGAGGCAGCTAGGAGGTACATTGGATAGAGTGCTAGACCTGGAGTCAGGAACACCTGAGTTCAATTCCAACCTCAGATACGTACTAGCTGCATGACCCTGGGTAAGTCACAATCTCTGGGAAGGCTATGGCTGGTGTCCTGGGAGTGGAGGAGGTTAGGGTTGAGTCATGACTATATGGTGGTGGAGATCACACAGGGGCCATCACACAGGATGTCAGATCTTGAACAGTTCCAGACTGAGTCTCTCCCTGGAGCCCATTTCAGGATATTAGCCAGGGAAAGCCAGGAAGTGGTCGTAGTAAGAAGGAACAACCTGACCCAGGTTGTTAGAATTTCTCTCTCTCTCCTTTGTGCCCTCCTCCTTGCCCAACAGAACAGAACAGGCAGACCCCTAGAGATCTCTGAGAGGATGCCCCCTTATTGCTTCAAGGACCTAAAAGCTGCTGAGGCAGTCACTTCCCTCCACTTTTGTCACTTGTTTTCAGTAGCTGTCCACCAGCACTGCCTGTAGATATAGGAAAGGGGAGTAGCATGGTGAAATCACCTCTGCCCCAGGCAAGGAGAGGATTCATACTCCCTCCCTACGAGGGAGATCAAGACTGACCCTCAGGTGGTCTCAACGACATAAAGTCTCAGACTCAGACCCATAGAATGACTGACACAGACTGAGGGTCACAAGGACATAGACCCAAAGATGCAGACTTCCCTGTTCACAGGGCTGTGCACTCAAGACTCACTGACAATTATAATTTCTCAGACAGTCGTACAGACATATACACGCTCAAAAAGAAATATAGGAAAGTGTGAACTAGCAGAAGATGGTACAGATAGGTGGATTTATGGAGGGCTGGATAACCTGATCCAGAGTTTCATATAATGGCTATTTCCATGTCAACCTGGAGGCCAGATGTCTTTAGCTGAGGGTCCCAGGGATCTGTCCTTATCTCAGAACTGTTCAACACTGTTATCAATGACTTAGATTAGGCCTGCACAACCTGTGGCCCTCAGTCCACTTATGGCCCTTGGGCTGCTTGTGGCAAGCCAAAGGATTTTGGGCAGCCATGAAAAACGTAGAGGAAAACATCCTTTGTATGTAGAGGAAATCCTTTGGCAGGCCACAGGTTGTGCAGACCTGGCTCAGATGAAGGTGTAGGGAGAATCTTTATCAAAATCACAATTGACTCAAAGTTGAGAAGGATAGCTCAAACAAATCACAGACAATGATATGTTCATCTTGTTAAATCTAATAGGGATAAATGTGAGGTCTTCATCTGAGATTCCAAAAATCAGCTTCACAGGTCCAGGATGGGGAGAGATGAATTTTAGTGGACCAGAAGGTCCATATGAATGAACAGTGTGATAGTTTAGCAGCCAAAGTCTTAAACACATTTCCTTCCATCGGGGGAGCTTGGACTAAATAACCTTTGTGGTCCCTTTCAGGTCTAGATGTGTGACCCGATGATCTTAAGCTGCATTACTGAGGCAGCACCAAGTGTGAAAATGAGGGAAGGGACAATCACTGCCCACGTTATCTGTGTTGTTTTCAGTTCAGGATGCCATGTTTTAGGAAGACATTGTAACAAACTAGTGAATGCAGAGCACTTTGATGAGGAAGCAAAGGGGATTGGGAGGGATTCCATATGAAAATCACAGAAGGAAACAGGGGTATTTAGTTTGGAGAAGGGAAGACTTACAAGGACAATGATCTCTGCCCTTAAGTATTTGAAGGATAGCAAGTGGATAGGAGTGGATAGGAGTGGATAGTAGAGTGCATAGGAGTCTGGACCTCGAGTCAGGAAGAAGTAAGTTCAAATCTGATCTCAGACACTTCCTAGCTGTGTGGTTCTGTCATGAGGGAGAAGGATGGATTAGTCTTGTTCTGCTTAGATAGAAGCTGCAGAGAGGCAGGGTTTGGCTTGATGTCAGGAAAAAAAAACAAAAAGAAACCAAACTTCCTACCACTTAGAGCTGTCCACAAGGGAGATGGGCCATGGAAGGTAGTGGATTTCCTCTCACTTATCCTCAAGTGAAGGATCAGTGGCCCCTTGTTCATGATGTTGTATGTAGAGGGTATTCTTGGTCAGCTGTGGGTTGGACTTTAGTCCTTTAAATTTCTATCCAAATTCTGTGAGGGAAGACAAGGCCTGGTGTGTGTGTGTGTGTGTGTGTGTGTGTGTGTGTGTGTGTGTGTGTGTAGCAGAGCCTGGGGACTGGGGCCCTTATTCCAATAAGGGGGCAGGGGATGAAGAACGAGGACATTCAGGGATCAGGATCATCCCCTGTCAAGAGTGGGACAGTTGGAGGGGAGGAGAGTTACCCAGGATTCCTGCTTCAGAGTCAGAGTCTTGGGGATCACCGCTTTGCTCAGTACAACCTGTCTGTTTCCCTTTTACAGAGGTAGATGAACCTGAGGGGGTGTGGATATTAGTGATGGGTTGTGCAGCCCTTACCCTCTTCTCTTTTGTCTCTTCCCCTAGGTAACTGTGCTCTGTATCAGCGGGGTGGCTGGTGGTACCATGCCTGTGCCCATTCCAACCTCAATGGCGTCTGGCACCTAGGGGGCCACTATCGAAGCCGTTATCAAGATGGTATCTACTGGGCTGAATTTAGGGGTGGTGCCTATTCACTCAAGAAAGTGGCTATGCTAATTCGGCCCCTCTGACTTCTGACCTGCGCCTTTTGGATCTTGGCGGGGGGAGGTATAGTTGACCATCTTGGATTGCCTGGCGTCTCGTGTCCTAGAGTTTACATGAGTCAGGGATCCGCAAAGCCCAGGGCATTGTAAAAGCACCCCTCCATGTCACAAATCACGCCCCATCAAGCCCATACCACCACCACCCCCTAACCCTTAGCCCTGTAGGAATGAGATACTGCCATTCAGGAACAGGGCATGTCCTTTTGTTATTTTGAACATGGCATATAAAATATTAGCATCATAATGTATGTCTATGTATATGGCATGTGGGTATGGGGGCCATGGTATATCCCACATGGAGGGGGTTAGGAGCTCCTTACCCGCCTCCACTATGCTAAAGTGCACACATATGGACCCTCCTACATCACAGAGAGAGGCCTGAGGAGTGGAGGCTTTCCCCTGAGTGACCTGTCAGCTTTTCCTCAAACCACTGCTGAGGACCCACTCCCAACTTTGACTGGTCCTATAGGTTGACACTGATCCTCCAGGTCTGTAGGGGATATTGGGGTAGAAAGGGCAATCAAATTCACTTTTTTTTTTTAGGCAATTGCGGCTAAGTGACTTGCCCAGGGTCACACAGCTAGTAAGTGTCATGTTAGGTCTGAGGTCAGATTCGAACTCAGGTCCTCCTGACTTCAGGGCCGGTGCTCTATCCACTGCGCCACCCAGCTGCCCCTGGAAATGGCAATCAAAAGTTCCTAGTTGCCTTCCTCTTCCTCTGCTTCCTCTTTGAGGTCCTCTAGGATTAAGTTGTCCAGGTCTTCCATGAGGCTACCCTGGCTAAGGCAGGTGGCCACGGTGGAGCCAGTGCTCTCATGGACGGCACTTGGCCACAAGACAACAGGCATATTTTTCTGTTTCCGGCTCTTGGGGTGCACACAGAAGGTCCCTGGTGTGAAGGATCCTGGGGGGGGGCAGATGTAGGATCTGAGCCTTCTCTGCCCTGAGCCATTTTGAGGTCTCGAGGCCTCTCTGTGCTCAGCCAGAGACTGGCCCCAGGGGAGCAGGCTAAAGGGGGGGGTAGGTGTCAGATCTACTGGGGCTAGGGAGAAGTGGGGCAAGGGGAAGAAAGGGATAGATGGACTTGGGGTTTGACCTTGTCTGTTGTAGCAGTCCTCAGCAAAGCAGCTGTGTGTATTTTTTCTGCCTCTCTCATTCTGGGGTCGGCGTGGGGGGAGGATCCGATTTGGCAGGACAGAGTTGCCACAGCAGTAGCATGGAGATGGAGTTCCCATCTGGGCAAAACCCCTGGGGAGAAAGCAAGAATGGTTGGGACAGGTAGTAGGCCAAGGAGGAAGTGTGAGTCAGAGATCAAGGGTTGGGGACTCAGAAAGACTGAAAGAAAGAGGTTGGGGGTTGGAATAGGAGGTTTAAAGAACCCTTGGAGATCATCTACAGCTAAACATCTCTTTTTACAGATAGGGAAACTGAGGCCTAAAGTGGGGAAATGTCTTGCCCAAGTTAGGAGCTGGGATTCTAACCCTGATTCTCTGGCTCCAAACCTAGTGATCCTTCTGTGGCATTGACCTGTATGAGGACTGGGGACAAGGGTCAGGGGACAGGAATCTGAGAACTCACATGAAGGTATGGCCACACTGTAAACACTGAAACTTGGCTTCACCCCACATCTTGTCTTTGGGCACTGGATCGTATTTCACTTTGCACTTCCGGCACCGGGACACCTGAAAAGTTCAGCGTGAGCAGAGTCAGGCCTGCACCCAGGGACTCCATGGGGCCCACCCTCAGTCCTAGCCCTGACCCCTTCACCTTTTTGCGCATGGGTACCCGGCGCCACCACACATTATTACAGGTACCGCAGGCAAACTGGCAGTCTTCCTTGGCAATATGGCCCTTCTGGGCATCATCCAGCATGCGCAGATTTTCCTCGGTCAGGGGTAAGCTTATGGTGGCGGCCACCTCCTGAGTGGGAAGTTGGGGATAGGATCAGGGCACCTCAGCCTCCAGCATGGAGCCAATGGATGTCCTCACCCTTACCCCCTGCTCCCCTGCGCACCTCAATGTCTCTGTCCTTCAAGACATTTTGTTGATCCTAGGCAGGAGTGGGGAGATAGAGTCAGGGCTGGGGTCTGCATTGATCTTTCAGGTGTCCGGGTGCCCCTGTACCCTCACTCCTGGAGCTCTTCACTTAGCAAAGAAGCAAACTTTGAAGCAAGGATGAAGGCCTGGCCAGGCAGGAGGCCTCAGCCCACAGTTTACACCCTTCCTCAAGATCCCAAGACTGCTCACGCCCCCCTCCCAATTCCTTCCATGGCACTATCTCCTGGGCCAGCCTGGATCCCATACCGGGGAGTGGAAAGGAGAAAAGTGCATATAGGACTGGGCAGAAGAGATTGTGGGGGTACTGGGGAGAGGAGAACGAGGAACCGGGAAAGAGGCTTTCAAAGTTATGTCTCTCCCCTTAGTTCAGAGGTTCCCCGAGCCCAGGAACCTGGGTCATGTGCCCTCTATCTCCCCCAGGTTGGGAACTGTTGGATCTCCTTGCAACTATGGGGCACATGGAGGAAGGAAATTACCTGGACAGTTCGGTCTGCTTGGTGCACATCTTCTTTTTCTGATCTGAACTCTTCAGAAAACAAGTTTAGAGAGCATAGGGGCTGTCACAGGATATACTAGGACCAAGGACCTTTAAATAGTCACCTATCCCCCAGTGGTCTCTGGTTCCACTGACCATTTGGGATACTGGAACTCCCTGGGACACCCCTTCCATGCTCTTCCTGGGCATCTAGGTCCCTTCCGAGTACCTCTGGGGACGCCTAGTACCCAGTGAAGCCTTGGAACCCCTTCTGAACCCTCCAGGGCTTCCTCTACACCACACCGTGTCCCCTCACCCCGCCCCCACCCCCGCAGTGTTTCCTGCTGACCATTCATTTGTTTAATCAGCCAGGAAGAGACGAGCTCATGGTCCTGGTTGTATTTCTCCATTAAGACATTTGCCTTCTTCACAGACAAATGGCCATGAAACTTCTCCCTGAGGCGCCTGACACTCTTCTCCAGCTGTTAAGAGGTTGAGGAGACACAGAAACATCATTAGTACCTTTGCTGAAACCCTTGAGAAACCTGAAGGCTAGCATTGGACAGTATCTGAGCCAAGGCAGTAAATCCATTCCACCTTGGGTACCAGTTGCCTAAGCTATGAAATAGGCACACAGGCCAGGTCCTTGTCAGGGTCTGAGGGGGAGAGGTCACATATGTATCTTGCGCCGGTTTTCCTTCCTTTCATCCTCTCTCCCTTCTATTACGGTTGGTTGGGGGAGGAAAAAAGCCTGCAGAGAGGTAGGGACATCTGTCAGCGGGCCCCTGGCCCTTGACCTGACAGCGTTTCTTGGAAAAGGCCAAAGTTCGGGTTAGAAAGGGTCTAAACTGCAAGGAAGGTGAGAAGCCCTCAGACAGAGCGCCCTAGGGCAGCAGGGATGGTTCCCAGGCTTGTACCTGCCGATTCGTCACCTCCCCAAGCTCCAGGAAAGGGATCAGGGAAGAGGTGGGGGGTGGGGTCCCCTCCCGGTCCCGGTCCCAGGCAATCTTGGTCTCCGTGGGTTTCTCCTCCCCGTCAGGCCAAGCCTGGAGTTGGGGGAGGCATAGTTGGGCTCCTCGCGCGGCGCATCCTGGCTCCTGGCCCCTGTCCTCTCACCTTCACGCCGGAGAACGCAGCTTCAGCCATCCTTGTTCCCGCGGCTCCAGCAGCTCCCGCGGCTCCCGCAGGTCTCACCTTACAGGCCCCCAATACACAGGGAACTGGGGTTTCTCAGCTCTTTCCACTGCCTTTGTCTCTGCCCAGAACAAACAGCACCCCCCCCCCCCCGCTTTTCCGCCCACTTTCAGTTTCTCAGAAAAGGGCGGTGCCTCAGAGGGGTGAGGATTGTCAGAGCCCGAGGCTAGACTTGGGAGCCTTCCTAGTCCTGCCCAGCCCCCCAATTTGAGTGGAATTAAACCTCAATGGGACAGATGGGGTCCCTGAAATGAGGGCGGGGTGTGGAACTGGGAAACTGACCGCGAACCGAATATCCTGAACCTCATCTCAAGCCGGAGGAAAAGCCCCTTACCAAAACGAGCAGAAGCCTTAAGTCGGAAGTACCCGCAAGGTCTTGTAGTCCAACCTTTATCTGAGTAGGTTATCGAACCCGGATGGCTCAGATTATTAAGAAGATTTTTTCTTCAAAGCTGCCTTTCAGTAACTTTCACCCATCGTTCCTTTGGGGCTAAGCAGAGCCATATATATGATCCCCTTTGGATATTTGAAGAAAGTTATCAGCAGATACCATCCCTAAATCTTCTTTTCTTCAGACTAAACATCTCCAGTTCCATTGACCAGTCTTCATATAGCATGGACTCTAGATTTTTCCATCCAAGATCTCTTCCGGCTCTAAATACCATGAATTGCCTCCACCCCCATCTTCCACCCCCTACAACCTAGATCATCCTCCTCTTTGGTTTATCAACTGCCTCTCTGAAAAGTATTCAATTTACTACCACAAGCATTTTCTTAAACATCTGCTCTATACCAAGCACTGTGCTGGGGACTGGATATACAAAGACAAGAAAACACACCCTGTCTTTAAGGAGGTTATATTCTTTTCAGAGGCAATAACATGTACAGAGAAAATGAAATATAAAATAAATGTATAGCACTCCCTCTGGGTTACTTACTCCCACCTGAATTGGCTGGTCCCCAGAGGGTAGCTGACAACTACTTTCCTCAGGATTCTAGGGGTAACCCTTACAGACTGGGTTTTTCTAGTACCGCCAACAGTATACTTCCCACTGATTATCAGCCCAGCTTAATTAGCTTTTAGAAAGGGCATTTACTGTGCAAGTATAGCAAGGATAGTTAGGGGGAAAACAATTATCTAAAGTAGGAGCACATCCTCCCCTTGTTCACACAACATATGTGGGCTCAAATTTAAAATAGTAAGGTAGGGAAACAGGTAGAACATATGTGGCAAAGGAGTAAGCAGCTCCTGGTCACTGGGAGTCATTTTCTGTCTTTGTTGAATCCTCATGAAGTTCTTCATAAATATAGCTCTTCAATGGAGGGATTCCAGAGGGTAGGATTGGTAATGTGGGGTAGAAACACGGAAGGGATAGGTTTGACATAAATAGGTGTGAGGGACTATAGAGTGGGGATCCAGGAAGGGAGCTTCCACATAGGCTGCCTGTCACTTAGAACCAGAGGGATTGAGTTGATTAATAGTGTAGCATATTGTCTTGCCCTTCATAGTTCAAAGTTAATGTTGACTTGATTACAACCCCAGAACAAGAAGTAAAAATTGGGGGAGGGAGATTCTGTCCACAGTAGTAAGGCTGATAAATAGTCCCCTGTCTTACGTGATGATCAATGCAGGTGTAGGAAGATACCTGGGTCATGGATAGTTATAGAGAGAAAGTATGGCTGAGGTATTCATGATCCAGTCCTTGGCCAGGTCAGTTCTGTCCCAGAATTCACACCAATTTTTTTTCTTTTTTTCAATTTTTATTCATATCATTTATTTTTATATCACCTTTATTTCTGAATGTATGCTTTCCTCCTCTATCTAGTCAGCTATTCCTTTCAACAAAGAATAAAAAATTAAAAAAAACCCAGTTCAACAGATCAGTCTATGGAAATATTTGACACCCATAGACCTCTACCTCTGCAAAGAAGGGAGGAAGTGTTTCATCACAGCATTACATAGCATTTAAAAAACAACAACAACAATTCTTTTTTTTTTGTAGGCAATTGGGGTTAAGTGACTTGCCCAGGGTCACACAGCTAGTAACAAACAATTCTTTTTATTTACAATGTGGCAGTCACTGCATGTATATAGTTTTCCTGTGTTTTTTTTTTACTTCACTCCGCATCAGTTATTACATTTTCACTTTTTTTCCCACTTTTTATGGCATACTAATATTCCATTCCATCCATATGCCACTTTTAAGGACTTATGGGCTTACCCAAGAGCCTACGGTTTTACTCAAGAATGGTGGGATTTGAATACTGGATCTTTCATTTTTATTTTCATTCAGGAAACATTTTTTAGTCTAGATGTGAGTGACTCATTCTTACAGGTCACACTGGTAACCTGACAGAAGTCTAGTGAGAATGGGGGCTACTCATTTGAACAATTTCTCAGTTCTTCTAATTATTTATCTCCTGGTATAGAAAACCTTGGAACGATAGATAACTAGGAGTGGGGATGAGATGTGTGTGGACTGAGCGTGCTCATTTGGTAGTGAGTAAATTACTCAAGATTAGAACCTAGGAGTTTCTCACACTTGTGTGATGTGAGTAAGCTGGAACAGCTCAAGTTTGGAACACCATCTGGTCACCTGCACAGACATTGGACTCCAAGTAGCTATTCTGGTCATGCCCCCTAGAAGGTACAGAAAGTACTGATTATCCCTGTGGGTGGGCAAATGTGCTCTATGGACCTTTACATACTCTTTATATTTTGGATATTGGGTAGGCCAAATATGTACTTGGCAAATATCTTAGGAAACTCTTGAAGTGCTGGTATAGCAATAAAATCTTGCTTATATCCTATCTTTTGGAAGTCCATATAGAGACATAGTCACTTTATCACTAGTGAGTAAAGGAGTAGAGTTTATCATTTTTTCCCACTCAATAAGATGCTACCATAGCCATTTCCTCCTACAGGATGGGAAGAGTCAACATACTACTTGCTCTCTCTAGCTCATGGTCCTCAGGTACTCTTCCAAATTTTTTCATCTCTTTTCAAGCCCCTCCATTGCCTTTTCCTTCTTCTTTCTCAATAGATGTCCTTGCCCACTACTTTACGTTGAAAAAAAAAAAGAAAGAGGTCTTTTATTACAAGGTTATTTTTGCCCATCAAAGCTCTATCCTGTGTTTCCATCTCTGAGGACAAAGTGGCCCTTCCGCTTGTCAAGGCCAACCCCTCTACCTATGCTCTTCATCCAATCTTCTCCCAATTCCTTCAAGGGCTTGCTTCTTGGATCATTTGAAGATATCTCTCCCTTCAGCCTACAAATATACCCAGGACTCTCTCATTCTTTAAAAACCATTATTTGACCCCATCTTCCCCTCAAGCTATTGTCCTTTGTCTCTCCTTTCTTTCATGGCCAAACTAGAACTAAACCTATATCTGTTGACTCCACTTCACCTTCCACTCATTTCTGATCCCTTTTCAATCTGACTTCTGATCCCATCATTCATTAGACTGCTCTTTCCAAGGTTAACATTAATCTCTTAATTGCCAAGGCCAATGGCCTTTTCTCTGCCCTTATTCTTCTTGATCTCCCAGAAGCATCTGACACTGTATACTCTGGGATTTTGAGATGCCATTCTCCCTTGATTTCCCTTTTATGTTTGACTATTCTTGTCCAGACTCCTTTGCTGGATTATCATTTGTTTTCTGCCCCTCAATACCCAAGAGTACTCCCCAGGCTCTGTATCAAGCTTTCTTCTCTTCTGTGCGTACTCTTTCTCTTAGAGATCTCATCACTTCCCATTGGAACCAATTATTCTGTTTATGCAGATGACTCTCACATCTACATATGTAACCCTTGTCTTGCTCCAGAGCTTCAATCATACATCACCAGCTGCCTGCTACATAGCTCTTCCTGGATATCCCACAGGTATCTCCAAAATGGATTCATTTGGCCTCTTTATCTCCAAACTTCTTCTTCCAAACATTTTCTTTTCTGTGGAGAGCCCCATTACCCTCCCCATCATTCAGGTTTATAACATTCTTGAATCTTCCCTTTACTTCATGTTGCAAATCCAATCAATTGCTAAGTCTTGTCAAATCTACCTCCACAATATCTCTCAAGTTCATCTCCTCTCCTCCACTCATATAGCCACCACTCTATTTCAGGCCCTCATTATCTCTACCCTGGACTGCTGTAACAGCATCCAATTTGGTCTCCCTGCTTCCAGTCTCTCCTCTCTCTGATGGATTCTGCTTGTTACTCCTCTGCTCAAGTATCTTCAGCTGCTCCCCATTGCTTATAGGATAAACTATAAACTTGTTAGTCTGGCACTTAAGTCTCTCCACAATCCAGCTCTTACTTACATTTCCAGCCTACTTTATATGAACTTTTTCTAGTCTCCTTTATGAACACTACATTCTAGCCAAACCAGACAGATGTGCTCCATCTTCATACCCATGTCTCAGAATTCCTGTCTTCCTTCAAGACACATCTCAGGTGTCACCTTCTTTCTGAAGCCTTCCCTGATCTCATCTAGTTGTTAGGACTCCCCTCTTCCTCAATTTTCCTTATACTACACTTATTGATGTATAACTGATATCTCTAGGGGAATGTAAACTCCTTGAGGGTAGAGACCATTTCCCTTTTGTCTTAGTGTTCTTTCTCAGCACTTGGCACAGTGTCTTACACCTAGTTACTTCAACGCTTGATAGATCCATGATCTCATCCTTGAGGTATTCTTTTCAATGATACAGAATGCAGCCTCTCATTCTGTGAGATTCGTCACTCTGGCCTTTCATAAATCTTTCATAGGGAGTCAACCCAATGTACTGAGAGTGGCTTTCCGCTATTTCTCTTGACATTTCATGTATGCCAATTATTATTATTATTTTTTAGGCAATTGGGGTTAAATGACTTGCCCAGGATCACACAGCTAGTAAGTGTCAAGTGTTTGGTCTGAGGCCAGATTTGGACTCAGGTCTTCCTGACTTCAGGGTCAGTGCTCTATCCACTGTGTCACCTAGCTGCCCTTATGCCAATTACAACAGTCCAGGCTATGCTGGTAGTCCACGTTTGAGACTGGAATGAAAAAAACACTCTTAGAACATTTAGCAGGTAACAAAAGGAGGTTT